TCCTGCCTTAGACATGAAAGCTGGCTGGGTGACTTTGGGCCAGTCACTCTCTCTCAGCCCACAACATCAGGCTAGGGCGACAAGCTAGTCAGTTAATTCCTGTTGCAGCCAGTGGATCAACTTTCAGTCGATCTGAAAAAAGCAGACCCTGCAGCTGCGGAAAATGCTAGGAAGAAAAAAAAAGTCCACATAGGTTGCTATTATTTGAATTCATTCCAACTCTTCCCTTCTCTCAAGGCTGTGACTCCTGCAGAGGACTTCAAGGAATGTCAGGGTCAGCTGCTCACCTGGAATTGGACTGAGAAGAGCACTTAGAAAGCTGAGCAGCTTTCAAGTGTCTTCCAATCTAGCAGTAAGTCAGTAAATGATCCTGCCATTTTCAGAAGACAGTGAAAGGAAAGGAGACAGGGAAATCATCCTCTTGCCATATAGTACACTTTTTCTCAAGCTTGGGAACTTTAAGATGTGTGGACTTCAACTCTGATATAGTGGCTTAAGAAACATTGAAGGTAGAAGCAGTGAAACACTGAATACACTGGAATGAGTGGCATTATATTTCCAGCCCCTTTCCTTCCCATGTTTTGGGGAATTACTCTTTGTTAAAGATAAAACAAAAGTATTAAGCTTTCCAGGGACTTAACACATCTATTAAGCAATAGATAGGTTAAAATGCCTCTAAAAAACTCTCTTGGCCGCTGGTGCAATTTGGGAAGAGGCATACATGGGGCTAGGTATCTGTGTAACCCTTAAGCCATAGCACGTTGACCCCTGGTAAAAACAACTGTACCAATATTTTGAAATAAAAACAAATTTGGAATAACATAACTTAATCTAGGTCTACTTATTATTTGTTAACTCCAAAGGATCTCCTGGATCTTCCTGTTCCCACTACAAAGTTCACATTATATACAAAGATATAATTAGAACCTCATTGTGATACAAGTTGGATGAAAGGGCAATAAGGATTTCCTGGACAAGGAAAAGTTCTAAAAGGACAGATATTTTCATCCCCTATCATTGCTGCTCCATTCAAACTCCTCCCTTGAAGGAAATGGTTATTTTTTTCAAATAAATTGAATAATTAATTATTCAAAAATCCTCCATTATTACTGCATGTTAGGCCATAGTTTTTCCTTCAGCTAGATCTTGCAACACCATCCAACGTGCTCAGTTCCTCTACAGAAAGGTACTCTAAACTTTCTAACACTAAAGAAAGGAACATTTGTTGACATCATTTTCTTAGAAGCAAGCTACAATAATTTCAACAGAACTTGCTAAGTTTAAGTTTGTTTTTTAGCATAAACTGCCCAGTCACCCCACAGTGAGATGGACGGTGACAAATCTGAAATATAAATAAATATTTTAATTAATATTTATCTATTTTAATTAATGTTTATTCTGTTTTTACTGTAAACCGCCCAGAGTCACTCCCCAGTGAGATGGGCGATGAAATATAAATAAATATTTTAATTAATATTTATCTATTTTAATTAATGTTTATTCTGTTTTTACTGTAAACCGCCCAGAGTCACTCCCCAGTGAGATGGGCGATGAAATATAAATAAATATTTTAATTAATATTTATCTATTTTAATTAATGTTTATTCTGTTTTTACTGTAAACCGCCCAGAGTCACTCCCCAGTGAGATGGGCGATGAAATATAAATAAATAAAGTGCACGTCAGGACATTCAAAATGCAAAGATCCAAGCAGGGGTTTCAGGTCACAGCAAATCAGCAGCTGAAAGCAATGGAGCATTACTCATATGACCTTGCGTAGCGGGCAACTCACAGAGAAAAAACTGGAGTCACACCTAATTAGTTATGAAAGCAGCTGGCATCAAATTGAACCACTAAGATTCATCATGTAACATTGCCAAGCAAAGTAAAATAGCTTGGATAGACAAGACCACTGTGCAACTTCCACCCAATTTTCAACTGGGAAAAGGATAAGTCCCTTTTTCACTTTAATGGCTAGTTCATCTCCTGATTCATTAATTCTAGCAGCTGTCTTTCTCATAAATAAATATGATATCTGGCAATGCACAAATTATGGCTGCAAGGAAAATGAGAGCAATGTAAGAGTAACAGCCATGGAAAGAGATGGAAAGATGAAGAGACAAAACCAAGCTGGTTGGGAAGGCAAACTCTTTGTGGCCAACTAGATCTTTGGTTCTCTTTTAAACAAAAAGCTTTTACATTTTCCCCTTATTTTAAAGATCTACATGGAGGGACAATGGAATAATTTATATTAATGAAATTTATCCCCACAAAACATGTTTAGAACCGTGACATTCAATTTCCAGTGGTTAATATTCCAGATAAATTATTCTATAACACTGACCCACAGCGATAATCATTATATTTCAAGAGAAAGTTTAAGCAATGTATCACTGTGGGTTTTAAAAAAATAAATATTTGGGTGCTACACAGCATCTAAGCCAGATTACTTAACAATAATGGTACTCTAGCCATTATTACTCAACCTCAAATCTGTTACCAAGATAATACCTGCTTCACTGGTTCAATAGTTTAAGTAACGTCTTTCAACCAAAGTGGGTGATTTTGGCCCAATTTTGAACATTTCAGCCTGAATAACCACTGTGAAAACCCTGTATCTCAAGGATACTGCGGCAGTTTTTAGACTACAGTCCCAACTGAACTTATACACTTTTAACTATATGTGTTAGACTGCAAAACACCATTTTTGTAGGCGTATTTGGTATGTTTGCTGTTTTGAGTTATATAAAAAAGCTGGGATAAAAATCTAATTATTATTATTTTATTATGTCATTTCTTGTCCTATAAACAGCTGATGCAAAATTCTTACATCAAAAGAACTTACTACTGGCATATCTTTATTTCACAGCATCTTCCATGGCTGTGATTTAGAGAATAGTACTGTTTAATGTAACCGGAGGCAGGGCAAATCAAGGGTTGACTAGCATGCCCATACATGCCAGCCTCCCTAGATCTAATTCCACTTAAGTTTATTACATTTGTTTAGCACAATAAATGGCATAAATTTAAATAGTAGCAATAGGAGCCAGAGAAAGAGATGTTCACTTTTCCTTAAGGCGTTTAAAAAAAAAACTAAGGGCACAGGGCAGATGTGGGAAGCACGCAGTGGAGAAAAGGGTAATAGCAAAGGCCCTGCAAGAAAGGTCGAACACAGCTTGCCTGTTGTATGTCTGGCTCAAATCTAGACAAGCTTCAATTTGATGAAACACAAAAAAGCCTGCTCTAAAAATAAAAGATTTTGTGCAACTGCAGCATCCTTATCTTTGTAAACCTGTGCACATTCTCTTTGTAAGTTTAATTACAGCTTTATCTTTATTCTGCCTTCAGACAAAGCAAAAGAAAAAAAATGGTTTTTTAATCCACTCGTATTGTTAAAAGGCAAAGTAGAATACCAAGTAAAATCATCTAAAAAGTCCAAATGCAGTTTAAAATGTATTCCGCTCTGGGAGATTAACATAATCCTTGTCTGGGCACATGCAGGAGTGAGCTCCTTTGTTCTCCAACTCGACTTTATGTAGATTTTATCCAAAACAGGCAACAGCTTCTGTTTGCAGGCAGAGGACTGCAGCACCGTACTACCTTAAATGTAGAACAGCCGTTCGCTTGGTCAATGTTTGAATGCTATGCCTATTAAAAGGGGAGGGGTAAAAGTTGGAGCTCCTATTTCACTTGGATTTTTTCTTAACCCTCACTTGCCAAGGGTCTGACAATAAGATCCCTGAAATACAGCTGCAAGCTAAACTGACCAGTCGACCCGTTTTGAAAAACCAACTTGAATTACAGCGTTTTTAGTTTTTCTAAGCTAAAGCGTTTAGCTCAAACAAGGACTGGAAAACAAGGCAGGAGATGCTCGAGTTGGCCATTCAAGCCCAACATAAAAGACAACTTACCATGGCAGATTATTCCTCTCTCTCAAACACACAGTGGAAATCTGGGGGATCATTTCCACAACTTTCTTAGTCGGTTCAGAGATGTAGCTTTTGTAGTCACAAAGGGTCTCCTTTTGCTGTAGGAGTTCTTGCTTGGCATATTCCTTGAGCCTTTTGTATAGTGTGCGCAGGCCCTGGGCAGTGCGAGGAGGGCGGTCAACTCCAATGGCATTGTAGTTATCAGCTATGATGTCCCAGCACTTGTTTTTTTCCACTATGACTGAATGTTTGTTGGTGTGTTCCTCGAGAATGTTAACATATGGCTTGACAAGTTTCAGCAAATCGAGCTTTTCAGACAAAGTGAAATTCGAGGATCTGGCCTTCCCAACCATCGTCCTCTCCAGCCTGAAGAAGCAGCAGTTCCTGAAACCACCACACAGATCCTAGCTCTGCTCAGCTCTTTTTCACAAACAGAAAAAAGATCAGGCTTAACTAGGCTTGTCTCATTTAGGCCCACGCCTACAGGGGAGGGTTTATTAAAATTCCTTCAGCTTAAGCTGACGCAGGTTCGTGAAATCTGGTTAAGCCGAGCCTGACCTACATAAGGCTTCAGACTGAAGGAGAGGAGAAGAGGGAGGGAGTGTGCATGCACAGACACTTTGGTGCCAAAAAACCTACATTTAAACAGGATTGAAAACATAAAGGTTTAAAGATTAGCACATTACCCTGCCAAATATCACCCAATACATCCTGAGTTTATGAGCTGACACACATACATCTCTTTTGCTGATAGAAAAAAGGGAACTGCACGGAAGACTGGATTTATTCATACCCAAGAAAGGGTCAACTTTTTTAGGTGGAAGGGAGGCATTTATTGGTTATTAAGCTGCACCACCACTGCAAAAAGGAGAAAGAGAAAAGACAACGAGCAAGGGGACTGGATTTAGAGGAGGCGTGTGTAGAGAGATCCCTAACAGAGCCCCTGGATCACGGTTCTGTTCCCCAGCGGCTCTTCTCTCAGGCTCCATTTGCATAATGCTAGTCCTGCTGTCAATCAGGAATTGCAGATTGCCTAGCTAGTTAGGTTTCACGCAGGGTTGGGCTTCGCAGCAAAGCTAAGCTTCCCCAGCACTTTGCAGTGTGGCTTTGGCTTTATGCACACACACACTTTTTAAAGAGGCAGATGCTCAACAGAGCAAGGGCACGAATGAGCGGAAAATAGGGTCCCCTCCATGCAGCTGCAGCTTGCCGAAAATGTACTAGTCATTACAGCCAGCCATCACGTGGCAGAGAAACAGTTCTCCAGAGGTGCATGTTAAGGACAATCATCAGTCAAGATTCCAGTTGCCCTTCTGATGACCTCCAAATGAGTTAGGCTAAAAGAGACCCATCATCTCCAAGCAGCAAGTAGCTAGGATTGATGGGAGTTGCCGCATACCTCGATGCTAGCTTGGGAAAGGCTGCCATAGTACTCTCATGATAAGAAATTCAATCACTCTGCCAACTTACCAGCTTGTAAGCTAAGAGTAGTGTGGCACTTTAAGAATTAACCAAACTATTATCAAACAACCTGTCCCTGGTCACAGTTCTACTTTGTCCATGGAGCACAGTCCTGAGGGGTATTATGCTTACACATCACTTCAAACTGTTTTTGTAACCCTTCAGGGATGTAGGAGTCAAATTCAACTCACTTCCATCTTTACTTCTATCTCCAAATCACACAACACTCTCTCCTTCTCAGGGAAGTTATATAAAGAAGAGGAACTGGAGACTCTGCTAGATTTAAACACAGGAGACCCACTCCACATCATTAAGGTCATAATATTGCCTCCTGGCCTAATCTACCTCTTTGGATTGTTGTGATAAACAAATGCTATCACTTGCCTGTAAGAAAAGCATTCACTGGGATCACACAACATAAGTCACGGTTTGTTTAATCACAGTTTACTAAATCACAGCTGGCTGAGTTCAGCCAAAGTAACTACAGGTAGTCCCCAACTTAAGAATGAGTTCTGTTCCCAAGGTCTGTCCTTAAGTCGAATTTGTATGTAAGTCGGAACAGTATTGTTGTATAATACTATATAAGTAGTATTGTGTATTTAACTTGAATCAATGTGTATTTAACTCGAATTTTGCTACAATAGGCTCCGTTTTTAACTATGGGTTGTCTGTAAACCAGGCATTCTTAATCCAGGGACGACATGTTTAAACATTTTTTGCAATGTTTTCAAGTTTCCTAATCCAATGGCTACATTCACACGATATGATAAGTCAAAATCAAATAAATTACATTATAGCTTATTGCAATGTTCAAAAATTGATGTGCAACATAAAATCTCCCCAATGAATAATGGAATACAATTAAATTGTCTGTCTCCTCTCAGTCTTCCTTTATAAAACTTAATGATCAAACACAAACCCCATGACAATTAACTTAAAATAGAATGTCTTCCCACAACAAATCTGAGAAACAGTCCGGGAAAAGTCAGAAATCTGTTTGCTAATAAATATATTAACCAAATATAGATTTTAGAATAGGTTCCTTACAGATCAATAATGCTTTTTTCTTGTTTTTTTCCCCAGCTTTTTTAAATTTAAGGACTATAGATAAAAAGTATTTCTTGGAATGCTCTAGCCTGATTCAAAGTCTAAAAATCTCTAACCCACCACTACTTTAGATGTAGCAGTTTTCTTTATATCAAGGTGGACAATCCATAAACAGATTTAAAAAATAATATTACAAGCCACAGTCACCTTTATGGAAGGATCTTCCCTTCATTTTACCATTATGAATGTTATTTCTCTTGTATGAGGAATGTTATTATTTATACTTAAGTTCAGGCAAATGAAAGCAGAATCTTGAAAGACAGTGAAATACAATTTTGTAAATGTGAAGAAAAATTAATAACTAGGCAAGCAAAATATGTAGAAAACTATTCATTTATTATTATTCACAGGTAGCAGTTACACATCTATTTACATTTTAATAGAGTCACATGTTACATAATGCCAACACTATCATGTTGCATAACACAGCACTTATCTGCAACTCTTTAAAGCTGCTGTGTCTTCTCCCAGAAACATGTGGCTGCCCTCCACAACTGCTGTACAATTCTAGGAAAAGATACAACTGCTTTAGAGAGCTATAATCAAATTATACATTCATATACCTCTATGCTCTGAAACATATTTTTTGGGATATAATCAGGATCATTGAACATAAAACTGTAGTTAGAATCTGGACCGAGTAAGACACCTTAATTCGAGTCCCATTTTATCCAGTGAACTTTACTATTAGAGTATGACAAAGCCTGGGATAAAATGAGAAGAAGCAAAGGAATGAGATGTAAATTGCTGAGCTCCTTAGAGAAAAAGTAGAATACAAATGTACTTAATAAAACCTGGACCAATTGCTATCATTCATCTTATGTCACTGAATTATTGAAATGATATCATATAATGCTGCAAGTTCTAAGCTGTTTTGAAGAAAGGGTAAAATTGTGTAATGATGTAAAATAAATGGCATATTAATGACAATAAATAACAAAGTATGTCTGTTAGTAAACAGGATATTCCATTCTTACTGTTTTTATTACTGAAGTACCTGTTATATATTAGGGACAAACTTTACATTATGGTAGTTATCATTACCTCCAACCAGCCTAATCAAATGGTCTATATTGTTGTTGTTGTTATTATCCATAATAATAATATTTTATATTTCTAAGTTAAAACTGAGCAATGCCTGTCAGAATGAAACTAGGTGAATTCAATGTAAGCTTTCTTACAGGTGAGTAAAAGGAACAATGCGGCACCATCTCTTGCCACCACAAAGAGGCTGACAAATACTGACATTTGAAGAACAAGATCACAAAAGCAAATTTGAAAATGCACTTACAAATCCAGCAGATTAAATATAAATGGACAGAACCATTAAAACAAAGGAAATCAGCAAAATTAACTATCCCACCAGTCAAATGTCTCCTTTAAAGGACATCTTCTCAAATGCAATCCTTACAGCAAACACGGAGGATAGAACAACTATTCTGAATGGAACACGCAAAAAGCAAGCCAGCAAGAATCCATTTTATATTTAGGAAAAAAAGCTTCCACACTATCATGAAACAGTACAAAACAGAAAATATTTTTTCTGCATCATAGCTACTGAATGAAAACAATATATCTTAAGTTATTTTTTTCAATGGATGTCTGTCTTTTCTCTCCCAAAATAAAGTTCTTGGAAGTTTTGGTTCTTGTCTATAAAAGGCTCCAGTACAGAGTTTCCCCATTCTAACAATTTACAGCCTCCAATGCGTATATAAAACCCTATAGGTTAAATGCTTGAATAATCCTTTAGTAGTATGAAGAACTGGGATGTATGAAATGTTTTACTATTCAGACAACGCAAAGCACATCTATTCATAAGTAAATCTGATTGTTTTTAATCAATGGAAATCCCTTCAGTGTAGAGCCCCAATTAGGAGTTACTTAACTAAGGACACTCACCACTTGAATGCTTCAATTAAGGTTCACCAACATCACACAGACATTGTCAACTACTTGCAAGCAATCACACATTCAGCATGGTTGTCTGCAGACAGAAAGTGTATTTGCATACTGTATGTCTTTAGGCTTTTATTCCACAGACACCATGGAAGCAGTGTTTCCTGAAAAGGGATGGGGGGTGTTACCCAGAACATTCAATGGTTGAGTCTTTTAGAACCTGAATATCTGAACAGAACTTAAGTGACTTGAGGCTTGCAGCCTTCAGCAAACTGTAAATGCCTGGGTCTGAACAGTGGCTCTTGTTTTATATTTCTAATAAATAAATAAATTCATCGCAAGAGAAATCTGAGCTGCACTCTAATGCTAAAAAATTTTCCTTGAAGAATTCTATGAAATCCAACTAATACTAAAGAGGAATCATCCACTCCAGGCACTTGAAAATTATTTAAAAAATGAATGAAACTTGACATATATAGCTAGCTGTAGGCCTTTCCAGGTTATTGCTAGGTTCCGCGCAGTCTACATGGATTATAGCTGAACTAAGAAAGATCCTGAGAAAGAGCTGGCTGAGAGATTTCCCTGTCCTGCTTCCCATATGCATCATGATGATAGGCCAACAATCAAATGGAGTCTGCAACAGAAACTGGGCTAAGTTAAATCCAAGTCATTGATGCAGCTAATTATTCTGAGTCACAGTCTTCTACTGTAATGAGAAATACTATCTCTTAGTCACAGTATGAATTGTGCATTCCCTATTACTGCACTATTGTTTGGCTCAATATACATAGAGGGGGCTTTCTTCCTCCATTTATATTGTAGACACTATGTTTTCTTTGACACATATCTTTTCAATAGGCCAGATCCACAAAAGCACTCTTTTACCTTTCCCTAAATTGCTGAGATCTCACACATAAAATGGAAAAATCTCAAAAGATGGGTGGCTTTGCGAGGGGAAGCATTCTGGCCCTCATGTGATGGTGCTTGAGGCCAGAAAATTTTGTTGATCCCTTTAATACAAAGATTGCATATGTCAGGATAACAGTATTCCACCAATTCTCACTGTTCTCCCAATTTGTTGATATCCCTGTTAACTTATATACTGTTTCAATAGCAA